GCCAGGCAGGCGCTGTGCCGCTGAGCTAAATCCCCAGCCCTGAAAATTTTTATACATATGTATAAAGCCCTACATTCAATCCCAGCATAGAAAAAAAAAAAAAACACAAAAAGTATATGTGATACAGACCCATATCCAACACACCTACAGTTATTTACTGTTTGGACTTTTACAGAATGTTTGCAAACTTCGGCTGTAGTGCAAGTGGCACCTAGAAATACCGCCCATCCCATCTCACAGATGGGAAAGCTAAGAGAGGAGAAGGTCTTGGCCACAGTCACAGAGAACTGGGCTCTCTGTCAGCTGGATAAATGTTTTTGAGCTGTTGTCCTCGGCTTGGCTTGGTTGGGTGAGGTCCAGAATGGGTCAAATTCTACCATGGCTCCAAAGAACTCAAAGCCTCAGGAGACACAAACTATAACCTAGGTGGATCGGGGCTCAAGGTCTCCCACAGCGGCATGGAGAAGGGCAGAGGATTTCCCAGTTCTTTAGAGCAGAAATAACGTCAGCGTGAGGCCCAGAACGGTGAGGTGTCCACCGTAAAGGTGGTGGGAGTGGTGGGGACCTCGGGCTGTGCTTGGTGAAAGATGGGAAGTTTGGGGTTTTTTTTTGTTTTTTAAGATGGGAAGCTTGATTCACCTGGTCAGCCTGGGCCCTAAGAACTACGTTACACTCACATATTGGGTTTAGGGGTTCTGGAGCTCAGGCAAGAGGGTCATGGGCTAGATTCTAGGTCAGATTTATTTCCTTACCCCAGGCCTTGCTTTACCGATTAGTCAAATTGGAACTGATGATTTCCTAGGATCAAGAGACTTTCCCCATGATAGGTGTGGCGATGCACGCCTGTAATCCCAGCATTTGAGAGGCTGAGGCAGGAGGATCGCCATGACTTCGAGGCCAGCCTGGACTACACAGCAAGACCCTGTCTCAAAAAAGAAAAGAAAACAACTAAATAAAACGCCTCACCCGGGGCCAGGAAGCGTCCTGCGGGGCGTGGTCCGAACAGTGACGTCACTTGGGGCGGGGCCTGCAGGATAGGCGGTGGAAGCCTTGAAGGGTCCACTGGCTCCACCTGGAGCCGGCGTGTGGGGGAAGGGGCTCCTCGCCTCTGTGCCCGCGCCGTGGCTGGGATGCTCCTGCTGTCCTACGGGACGTGCATGGGGAGAGGGCCAGGTGCTCTGTCCACACAAGAACCTGCTGTCCCGTCCCCAGCCCGGCAGGCGCAGCACACCCCACCATCGCTTTCCCCGCCGGTCCGCGGCCCCACCCCTACCCCACCTCCGACCCTGCGGCTGTGAGTCAGCTCCCGGCCGCGCCCCCTCGGCCCACTTCCTCCTCACCTTCCCCGGCGGGCGGGCGGGTGAGGGGCAGTAAGGGGTGGGGCCCTGGCTGCCAGCCCCCTCCCGTGCAGAGGTGGGGGCTCACCCCTTAGTAACCCCTCAGAAAATTGAGAAGCGAGTCCTGTGTGGTAGGGTGGGACGGGCGTCCAAACGTAGCATTTAAGAGAGAAAATTTTAAGAAAGCCCTTGCTTAACCGGAGGGCCTTTCTCGCCTCCCCAAACTGAGACTACTAAATGGAGAAGTCAGTGGGGAGAGCAGGACGGGAGAAATTGTGCCCCACTGAGATCCCCGGAAGAATTCCTGTACTGAGTGAGAGCAAGAGATCCAGGAACCATCCCTTTTCCACCACACTTGCCCTCCAACTTGGGGGTGAGGCCCGGAGTGCTCACCTATGCAATAACGTTAGGAAAGAGGGAAATTGCGGAAGTCAAGGGTTCCGCGTTGCCCTTTTAAGCGCGCTCCGGCGGCGCCCCCACCCCACCCCCCCGGCTGGCGGCGTCTGCGGCCGCTTTAAGGCGCGCGGCATTGTGGGTGCGGGGAGTGGAATTTTGGAGCGAGAAGTACAGTAGTAAGAGTAACGTTGTAGCCGCCGCCGGCTGAGGGGGCGCGCCGCGGAGGGGACGCTGCACCCCCTTTCCGTCGCAGGGACCCCACTCCCAGCACACTACCGGAGGGAAGAGGCGCCCGAGGACCCGCCCGGCCCAGTCCACGTTTCCCCCAGGAAGCTGGACTCTATGGGGCGGGACCCTGGGGGAGACTGAGCAGACCCGCCGCCCGCCGCGCACCCCTGAACCGCGAGCCAGGGGCGCCCCGGGAGCACCGCCGGGGGGGCCCGCCCGCCGCCATGAGGTGAGCCCTCGCCGCCCGCGGACCCTGCCCGCCCCCCTTTGTCCCCCTCCCCCCTCGCTCCGTGCTGGAATTTGGGGACCGGGCTGGAGGGTGGGCTCGGCTTGGGGCGCGGGGCGCAAATCCCCTCGGACGGACGCGCAGCGATTGACCGCCTGCCGTGACTCGCGGGGCTCAGGGCGGTGCCGGTGAGTGCTCCTGAGAGCTCTCGGGTTTGGGGGCGCCCTGAGGACTCCCGGATTTTGAAGACTTTCTCCAGAGGACGTCCAAGTTGGCAGATGATCCCCCCGCGGGGATGCTGCGATATAAGCAGGGCTCAGATTTCTCCAAACCTCAAGTCGAGGTCCTCGAAGGGATGCGGGGTGCGGTTTGGGAGACCCCGAGACCTGAAAGAGGTGCCCAGGCACAGACCCTGACTGGCAGGGACCCCTGTTTCTGTGGCCCTAGGAAGCCGCCCCAAGTGGGACTGCGCTCCGTAACTTAGAGGGTACTTCTTGGTCACCTGCATTTTGGGGTCACGGATCTCCAATGATTGAGGTTGTTGTGGGCAGACCCACAGATCCGGGGTTTGGTTGGGACTTTTCTCCCCTCTCGCTCCGCACCCGGGGTCTGCCCAGCCCAGGCCGTGCCTAGGACGGCGCAGCGTCTAGTGCCCAGGGCGGCTCCCAGGCCCCCGGCCAGGAGGGCGGCCCCTCTGCCCCACCTGGCGGCCGGGGGAGGGAGGGGGCGCGGCAGCTGGGGGAGGGGGCCTTTGTCTTCTGACTCACCTGTCGAGACAGCTGGTGTGGGGGGCGGGCCAGGAGCTCGGCGGCCCGGCTGCTTTCCCCGCAGCGCCCCCTCCTCCCGTGCCCCCCCCAGCCTTCCGGAGCTGTGGGGTTGGAGGAGGGGGCACTGGAGAGCTTCAAGGTCATTGCTTTCTCCCCCGGGACCCAGGCTCACCAGACAGTTCCTGCTGTCTTCCCAGGAATTTAATCCTGGGGGTGAGGCGCCCAAGGGACCCATGGATTTCTGTTTTAGCCGGGTCCCCTGGGCTTACCTGGGGGCAAGGCCAGTGCTGGGTGGACTGCTATCCCCAGTCTTCCCCCCCTGGACCCCCATAATCGCTCCCTTGCGTCCAGAGCCTGACAATACTATCTCCCTTCCTCCACTCTCTCTGGGACTTCCTGCCCCCAAGCCCCTGGCCTGAGGGGGAGGCCCCTGGGGACCGCTGGATTAACCCCCTGGTGCTCACACCCTCTACTTCCCCCTACATTCCCCACACTCCTGCCCTTTGACATCAGGGTGACATTCCTTTTTAGGAATGGGGAGGTTCTGGTGTGAAACACATTGTTGGAAGATCCTAAGCTAGGGGACCCGGCAGGCACCCTTAAGACTTAACTGCCTACCCTTTCCCCAGGAGAGCGACGTCCCAGTCCCCGGAGCAAGGACCGTTTGCTGGAGTCTGGTCCTCCTCCTTCACCCTCTTCCTGGGGACTCCTCTCCCACCGCCCCCGAGGCCCTCCCCGCCCCCTCCCGTTTCCGGTCCCAAGCCGGGTGGAAGGCGGATGGCGGATGTCCGAGTTAGTGCTGCCTCACTCCCTGCGAGACGAGACCGTAAAAGGGCAGGAGCAGTGTCTGGACCGGCCCCCCGCCCCCACCCCCAGCCAGTGGCTTGGTGCTCCCCTGGGCCCCCTCTTTTGGTCAGACCAAGCCTCCACCTCCGCGGGGTGGGGAACCCACAGTGGAGGGTTACTCCCACCTCCTGAGGGCTCGCTCTTCGCGATGGTCACGCGGAAGTTTCTGAGCTGGGGACCCTTTTCCAAGGATAGCTGAGATTTAAAATGGTCCCTGGACCTATTCCTAGCTGGGGAAACTGAGGCTCAAAGAGAGGAAGGCCTGGGGCAGATCTCTAAGAAATTCCTAGGCAATGCTAGAGGAGGAAAGAAGCTGGGATTGGCTGTTCCTGGCTGGTTTGGCTGGGACAGTCCTGGGGGCAGTTGGAAGAGAGGATGTTAGATGGAAAATTACAAGATATAATTCTTTTTCTCCCAGTTTGACAAATATTTGTTGAGTGTCTGCCGTGTCCGGGAGCTAGGCTTCTGGGAAGACAGGGAAGTGGGGCAGGGGTCAGAGAAACTCCGGCAGAAAAGATTGGGAAGAATTTGGGTTCTTTTCTTTCTTCTTACAGTAGTAGTACAAATTCCTGTTCTTATCTTTTCCTCAAAAAAAGGTAAGGTGATGTAGTCAGAGATCTACTTTGCCTACTTTGTCCCATACACTGTGCTAGTTTTCTGGATGTCCTGTCCCCACAGCACTTCTACAATCCGGGCTACTACAGTCTTGCTCCATACTGTTACAAATGAGGAAACTGAGGCACAGAGAAGTTAAGCCAATTGGAAGTGGCCAAGCTTGACTTTGAACCGGGGACTAGCTCCAACTATTATGCTAGTGAAGAGAAAGAAAACCTTAAGGTTTTTCTTTTTCTTTTTTTTTTTTAGTACAAGTAATGTGATTTTACTGGGGGAGGAGGGGAAACTTGAGGTAACTTGGGTAAAGAGAAACCCAAGCTAGAACTTTTTGATTCTTTTTTTTTTTTTTTGGTACCAGGAATCAAACTCATGACTTCAAGCTTGCCAGGCAAGTGCTTATGCCTCTGAGCTACATCCTCGGTCCAGCTTTTTGATTTCTTGTTCAGTTATGGGAAACTGAGGCCCACCTGAAAGGAGAGGCTACAGGGAAACCACACACACCCCACAGACCCTAGACTAGTTGCTTTAAAGATTTATAGTGCAGAGAGGTGTTTGGGTGGGTGTGGGTGTGTATGTGACAAGTTTGATGGTGTAAGGAGGTTACAGGCTAAGTCTTGGTGTGCTCAGTGGAAGGAAGGCAAGACTTGGGTGGTTTATGCCACTTGGAGTTGCGGTGCTTGGCTCACCCAGTGCTGGGCAGCTTCCCCTCTCCTGCTTTGAGGCACAGTCTCACGTGTGGAATAGATGCCAGCTTCCCGCTCCTGAGTTCAGGGCTTTGTATCCACAACCACTTTGCATCCTCACAGCAAACCCAGTGAGGCTTCATTTTCAGGGATGGAAACTGAGGCCGAGAGAGGTGAAGCCGCACACACAGCAAGGAGGTGACTCGCTGGAGAGGGGGGTCCCTGGCGGGCTAGGGTATTGGGTGGGGGTGGGGCCGCTGAGACCACAGGAACCTATCTCACTGCCACACACGCTTCCTGGCTGTGGGATATTCCACATGTTCCAGCTTTTGCCTAGTTCAGAGTTTCTATTTTTTGAATTTCAGTAGTGAGTTAGGTTTTTACAGATAATTCCAGCCCACGATAAACAAGAAAATGAAAAAGATGAATAATGAAACAGTTGAAAAGAGGAAAGGATGTGAAATGTCTGCTTCCTCCCATCCCAGGCCCCCGCTTGTGTCCTCAGGGGCCGCCGCAGTTAGTCTCCTGAGAAACCTCTGGGTGCACTGTGGGGCCCACACATTTATTTATATCCTCCCCACCTTTTTTTTCTTCAAACCTCTGAGCCATACTACTTTGTACGTTGCCTTTAACAATTTCAGCTTAGCTGTTTTCTAATCTTTAAATGAGGTTAGAGCTTGGGCGGACTTGGGTTCAAATCTAAGTCTCTCTGCTTACTTGCTGTGTGACCTGTGGCAAGCGTCTTTACCATTCTGCCCGTGTTCCTACGTCGGTCATGAGGGCAAGCATCGGCCTCCACCCCGGGAGGCCGGAGAGCTGCGCACAGTGGAAATTGGAGCAGTGTCTGGGGCCCATGCAGCCCTGTCAGTGTCAGCTGTCATCAAGTTTGTGCGTTTTGTAGATGTTTATTAAACAGCCATTGAGCTGGGCGTAGTGGCGCACGCCTGTAATCCCAGTACTCGGGAGGCTGAGGCAAGAGGATCGTTGTGAGTTTGAGACCAGCCTGGGCTACAAAGTGAGCTCAAGGCCAGCCTGAACTGCACAGTGGGACCCTGTCTTAAAAAGGCCAAAAAAAAAAAACAAAAAAAGCAACAAACCATTGAGCACCTGCTAAAGACTGGGCACTGTTCTAGGTTGTGGGGACACAGCAATGAACAAAAGGGACAAAACCTTTCCTGTGGGCCTGACTTATGGTGGGGAAGACAGATAGAGATTGTCAGGCAGGGAGAGATCAGGGAAGAGAGGCCCGGAGCTTTCCCAGACAGGTAGTGAGGGAGGGATTCCTGGAAGAGGTGACGTCCTCAAAGCAGAGATCTAAGAAGCTGAGAACCCAGGCTTGATGGGGAGGACTCGCTTCTGCTCTGCAGGACCCAGGAGCTTCTGAGCAAAGGGGAGACACCACCCACCTTGTGTTTTCTCAGGTCCCTTCAGCTGTGAAGGGGGCATTAAGACCTGGACAAGGGCAGGAGCAGCCAGTCACTCAGCAGCCCAGGGCCGGTGCAGGGCAGGGCCACCTGGGAGGACAAAGTGCAGCCGGGTCGGGCAGTGACAGCCCTGGGCTCCTGTCCAGAGTCTGGGTGTGGGCAGCAGGTGTGGGCGAGGTCCCAGCCCTGCCTGCCAGGGTGCAGGCCTCAGAAACAGCCCCTGAGGCTGCACTTGTCTGGAAATGGCGCCTGGTGTTTGAGTAGGGCCCACACTGTCCCTGGGGTAAGGACTGTGGACTTAGGAGCCAGGTGGCCTGGATTCGAGTCCCCCCTCTGCCACCCAGCTGCTGTGTGACTGTGGCCAGATCTCTCGGCATCTCTGGACCTCTGTTGCCATCCCCACTTGGAAAAGGAGCCTCAAAAAGGGCCGTTCCTGAAGGGCTGCAGTGCGAACAGGGAGTGACCCCAGGAAAGGGGTCAGGGTCCCTGCCCAGCTGGAAGGGCTGAGGAGGACCAGATGCCACAACCACATAAACGTGGGGGGCATGCTCAGTCCTGGGGGGCACTGGCACTCACAGCTGGGCTTTCGGAGGGGCTTTCCCTGCCCCAACTCTCTCAGCGCAATGGGGACAGGGCCACTCAAGTGTAATTTCTCTCCCCGGAAACCTCTGACCCCAACTTCTTCTTTTCAGGAAAAGCCTGGAGGGGTGGGGCAGGACAGAGACCAGTGCTTCCGAACTTCCCCTGTCTGGTGTGACCTTGGCCAAGTCACTTCCCCTCTGGGGGCCCAGTTCCCTCACTGGGGGAGGGGGATGAACCTCCTGAAGGAGTGGGGAGGAGTCCTGTGGGACATGGCTGTCCCCGCCTGACCTGACCGTACCTGCTTAGGCTGCTGTGACTGAGTGTTCAGTACGTGCCAGGCGCTGTGCCAAGCTCTCTAAGGGCCTAGGTTCATTTACTCCCACCCACTTCCTTGAGGGTGGGGACCACCATTCCCCCAGGTTGCAGGCAGGGAAGACGAGTTGGAACATGAGGCTCACAGGCCTGGGTCACATGGTGGAAGTGGGTCGGCGGGGATTTGAACCCAGGTCTGTGATGTCAGAGTCCAGCTCTGAGCTGACCCCAAAGCCTGAGGCAGCTGCTGCCCTCTCCAAGAAGTGCTGCTGCCTGACCCACTGCCTTCCAGGCTCTCCAGGGGTTCCCCTGACGGAGCTCCTAGCCTGGAGTCGGCACTGTCTGCCTCCCAGAGGGCTGTATGGGACAGTAGTGCCAGGTCCCAGGATGGCAGCACCAAGGCTGTCGGTCCGGGGCTGTCCAGGCCGTTGCTGGGTCGTCCCCAGCTGCTGCTGGCCCAAGGCCTGGGGTGTCTGACCAGTGGCTGTGGCCAGCAGGACGCACTGGGGGGAGAGCGGGGGTCTGCGATGGGTCCTGCACTTGAAGCAGACTTCACCCTGCTCCACCCTGAACCTGAGCTTCCTGTTGGGGGTGTCCAGGATGCTGGGGTGGCCGTCAGGGGACTCTGGTCCCTCGGGCTGCTTGGGGCTCAGCTTCTACCCCAAAGCCCTCACCTGCTGGTCTATCTTCCACTTGTCTTTCTCCATCTGCCTGTGTCTGTCTTTATTTCCTTCTGTCTCTGTGTCTGTCCCGGTCAGTCTGTTCCCCCCTTCCACCCTCACCTGTCTCTCCTGTCTGTTTTTCCTCTTCCTGCCCTGCCCTGTGTCACTTTTCCATCTGCCTCACACCCCAGCTGGGTCTCTCTGCTGAGCTGTCCCTGGCCCCCTTGTCTGTCTGTCCTCATTGCTGTCTTGGAGAAGCTCTCTCCTCTCTCTCGTCCCCACCTCTGTCTCTGTCTCACTCTTCCTCCTGTTCCAGAAGGGGATGTGAAACTTTTCCCTTCTCTCTCTCCCTGCAGTGAGGTGGTCATCTGTTCCAGCCGGGCCACTGTGATGCTTTATGATGACAGCAACAAGCGATGGGTCCCAGCCGGCACGGGTCCCCAGGCCTTCAGCCGCGTGCAGATCTACCACAACCCCACAGCCAACTCCTTCCGGGTCGTGGGCCGAAAGATGCACCCTGACCAGCAGGTGCTGCTCCCTCCGTCCCCTCGCTTCCTGCAGGTGGAGCCCCTGCCCCGTGCCCACAGCCCTCACCCGCCTTTCCCCTTCCTGCCAGGTGGTCATCAACTGTGCCATTGTCCGGGGTGTCAAGTATAACCAGGCCACCCCCAACTTCCATCAGTGGCGCGACGCCCGCCAGGTCTGGGGCCTCAACTTCAGCAGCAAGGAGGATGCGACGCAGTTCGCTGCCGGCATGGCCAGTGCCCTAGAAGCCTTGGAAGGTCAGACAGTGAGGCGGTGGGCGGGTGGGCAGAGGGGACCCTGAAACAGTATTGTGTGGTCTCAGGCTACTGGTTTCCCAGTCTAGACCTCAAGCATTGGGGCACATGCCTATAATCTCACTGCTTTGGGAGGCTGAGGCAGGAAAATGGCAAGTTTGAGCCCAGCTTGGGTAACTTAGCAACTTAATGAACCCCTGTTTTGAAATTTAAAATTAAAAAAGAAAAGAGGCTGCCGGGCATGGGTGGCACATGCCTGCAATCCTAGCACTTGGGAGGCTAAGGCAGGAGGATTACCCTGAGTTCTGAGGCCAGCCTTACCTACATAGAGAGTCCAAAGCTAGCCTGAACTACATAGTGAGACCACAGCTCAAAAAACAAAAATAAAGGGCTGTGGATATAGTTGTAGGCTCAATCCTCAACACCACCATCAAAAAACCCCACGTGATTCATTCCTGTTATGGAAAATTCTGAAGAGAATTTGGTGACTTCTCTGTCCCCATGCATAAAATACACAGTTCCTAAGGGGACAGTACACCCTCCCCGTGCCCACCTCCCAGATGGAGGAGTAGATAGAGCTAGCCACACAAGGTTCCCTGTCCCTTTCCCCTCGTGACCATGATGCTGGCTTATTTGAGACACGGTCTCATGTATGTAGTTCAGGCTGGTCTTGAACTCACTGTGTAGCCTAGGTTGACCTTGCACTCTTGGTCATTTTCCTGCCTCAGCCTCCCAAGCGCTGGGATTGTAGGTGTGCACCCCACACCCAACAAGAGTGAACTTCTAGCAGGCCCTCTGGTGATGCGAAGGCTTTGGTCCCTAGAGAGGGCTTTTGGTGATGGGCGGCATCTGGGCTCTGGGCCTGCTGCTGAACAAAAATCCCCCCATGTCACAGGTGTTGGGGGAAGGAGCCCACTCACCTGGCGGCCACGGAAAGCTTGAGTGGGCCAGCAGCTTGGGGCGGGAGAGGAAGAGGAAGAGGCCCTTGGCCTTTCTGGGTCCTCAGGCAGGGTCCACATGGCCTGCCTGCAGGGTCCGCCTGAGTCCTGGCTTCTTCCAGCGGAACCCAACCTGCATAGTTGGGACGGGTGCCTGCCTCGTGGCAGCTTAGGAAGTGAGCAGGATTCGGGTGGCCTGAGGGAAAAGCGCTGAGGGCTGGGATTGACTCACCGCCCTCTCCTCTCCCCTTCTAGGAGGGCCCCCTCCTGGGCCTCCCACACCGTCTGCCTGGTCAGCCCAGAACGGACCCTGCCCGGAGGAGCTGGAGCAACAGAAAAGGTAGGGCCGGTCCCTGGGTGGGGGGACCTGGCTCCCTGCCAGAATTTCACAAGCCCCTGCCTGCCTCCTGGTGTTCACAATCCGCCCAGCTTCCAGTTTTTTACACTTTTTAAAGATTCAGCTTATTGGTACGATGTAGATACATGATGGTCACATGCATCCCAGGGAGCGCACCTGTGCGGGATGGGTGGGATAGATCTTGCTGCCTCTCCTCTCCCTGAACCCCTCCCTTCCCTTCACCCCCTCTTCCCCTCCTGAGTTACAAAGCTTTGTTTCCATTTCATGAGCTTCATTTTACAATGCTCTCGCTCCCAGCTCTCAGAAGTGACTAGAAGCAAACAGCTCTCAGACCCTTCCACCCCCAGAGTGCAAGAAACTCCTCACACCCAGCTTGTCGAATCTGCAGGCCCCCAAAGCCAGGTCCCTCAGATTCCCAGGCACTGGAATCTGCTTGAAAGTTGTTTGTCTAAGATTCTTGACAGCTGAGTGACAAGGGTGCTTATGTCCTGGTCACTCGCTATCCCCGCCAGCCCTGTCCCCTGCACCTCCTCCCCGGGCACCTCAGGAAGGAAGGCCGGCACGCCGGGGCCTGACTGAGGCCACTGTCACCCCCACAGGCAGCAGCCCAGCCAGCCAGAGCACATGGAGCGCGAGCGCCGGGTCTCCAGTGCAGGTGACTCCCCAGTGACCCCGTAGATGGGGGCCTCTCTGCAGGAAGGGGTGGGCGCCAGGCAGTGAAGAATGCGGCTTCTCTCTCAGCACCCCGTCTTCTGCTCTTGTTTCAGGAGGCCCTCCTGCTCCCCCAGCTGGGGGGCCGCCCCCGCCTCCGGGACCTCCTCCTCCTCCAGGTCCCCCCCCACCTCCAGGGCTGCCCCCCTCAGGGCTCCCAGCTGCAGGTCATGGAGCAGGGGGAGGCCCGCCCCCTGCGCCCCCTCTGCCTACAGCACAGGGTCCCAGTGGTGGGGGTGCTGGGGCCCCTGGCCTGGCCGCAGCAATCGCTGGAGCCAAACTCAGGAAAGTCAGCAAGGTGAGGGGCTGGAGTGGCTGGTGAATGGGGCCCAGAGGTGACAACGGCAGTCACCTAGGGATGTCACAGGAGGTCACCCTCCCCTACTCTCTCCTTTTCAATTTCTCCAGCAAGAGGAGGCCTCAGGGGGGCCTTTGGTTCCCAAAGCTGAGAGCACCCGAAGCACAGGCGGGGGGCTCATGGAGGAGATGAACGCCATGCTGGCCCGGAGGTGAGCCCGAGCCCTGCGCCTGCAGCTTGGCGTCTGCAGTTTCGTTGGGCGGCGTTGGGGGAGGGCCCTAATTCCTGTTTTGTTGCTTTCTTGGGGTGAAAGTTCTCCTTGAAAGCCAGGTTTGGGGTGTGATGCTGGAGGCTGCAGTCTTGGAGTGGCTGGCAGTCTATACAGTGTGCCAGCACCCTGAGTTCTAGAACCTCAGTTGACCCTTCCCCAGCACCCGGGAAATTCTGATTCCTGGAATCCCCACATGCTACAGCAGAGCCCCTGTGACCTCATGAGAGTGGTAGACTCCCCACTCTCATTCTAGAAGAGCGATTCTCTCACTTCTGAAACTAGACTTTCCTTAGCCTGCATGAGTTCCAGAACTCTGCACCCTGGCGTGCCTATTTCTAGGCCAGTGGGAAGGGAAGTGTCAAGTGGCTGAAGCAGGGATGGTCACATCTGTCCTTGCGTTTCCCCTGCAGAAGGAAAGCCACACAAGTTGGAGAGAAACCCCCCAAGGATGAATCTGCCAGTGTAAGTTTGGGGCTGCTCCTGCGCTGTACACCTTAGGCTGTACCCTCAGGGAAGGGGTATTGGGGAGCAAGCATGTAGGGCTGGGCTAGTTTTGCTCCTGAAGAGGAAGTGGTCGGAGAGGTGGCAGGGCCGGCGCATGACAGTTTTATTTCCCACCAGCAGGAGGAGCCAGAGGCCAGAGTCCCAGCCCAGAGTGGTAAGAGCCCAGTCTCATAACAGAAACTACATATCCCAGGATGCCCTGTTTGCACTTAACAGAATACCCTCTTAGAAGATAGTGAAGATAGTGCTGGAGATTGTAGTCTCCTGAAATGGGTTTTGTTTTGACAGGGTCTCGCTATGTAGTTGAGTAGCTCAAGCAGGCCTTGAACTTGAGGCAGCCCTCCTGCCTCAGCCTCCTGAGTGCTGGGATTACAGGCATGCACTATCATGTCCAGCTCTGCAATGGTTCTTTGAACAGGGGCTGTTGAAGCTTGGGGAAAGGGGTTGATTTGGAGCAATTTCTGTCCCTCATCTTTCCAATTTGTCACCTGTTCCCCAGAACCTGTGCGGAGACCCTGGGAGAAGAACAGCACAACCTTGCCAAGGTGGGCCATCAGTGTTGGGGCTCCACCCCTCAAAATACTTGAATTTGCCCAGGTTACAGGGAGGAACACAGTGTGACCCCTAGAATGGAAGGCAGGTGAAGAAAGTCTCTCTAACTTCATTTGTGTTCCAAACCACACCGGCCCTTGCAGGATGAAGTCGATGTCTTCCATGGCAGCTTCCGAGGCCCACTCCACGCCCGGCTCTGCCAGTGAGTCAGACCTGGACAGCGTGAAGCAGGTAGCTTGCGGGGACGGCAGGGGCGAGGCCGGGAGCTGGGAAGGGCACGAGGAGAGAGGAGAGCTGGTCTGGAGTCTGCCACCGGTGTGCCCTGTGGCTCTAGAGAAGGCCTTGAAAACCTAGTTTTCCAGTCAGAGAGATGAAGGGGTCAGGGCGGGTCCAGACGCAGACACACACCCCCATTTCCAGTACCGAGGCAGACGGAGGCTCCGTCAGCACGCTCCCTGCTGCTGGGTACCCAGAAGGCTCGGCCCGGTGGCTCCAGCCATCCGTCACCCTTCGGAGTTGGCAGGACACCGGAATGTATTCGCCTTGCTTGGTACTGGATGTTCTCCAGTACTTTCCTTCTGGCTGCAAAGACCGAGAGTTCTCCTACAGCACGTCATTCCTTGACCTTGGCAGCCATGTCGGGGTGGGGGTGGGGTGGGTCTTGAACCTGGTTCCCTCTGACTGTTCAGGCCTAAAGAGGGCCGGGTGTGGTGGCGCATGCCTGTAATCTCAGCACTCGGGAGGCTGAGGCAAATAATAGTAATAATAATAAAGTTGGGGGGCTGGGGATGTGGCCCAGTGATAGAACCTTTGCCTAGCACGGGAGACGCCCTGGATTCCTTCCTCCCTAGCTCAGCAGTAAAATAAGAAAGGGGAAGTTTGTTTCAACAAGTCCAGGTCTCCCTTGACGGGTAATTATTTTCAGGAGCTTCTGGAAGAGGTGAGGAAGGAACTGCAGAAAGTCAAGGAGGAGATAATTGAAGGTATGGTGGTTCGGTTTGGTTTGGACTTCCTTGTCTTGGAGGTGTCATGTCCCTGAGAAAGAACCCTGACCTCTGCCTCTTGTTTCCTTCCAGCCTTTGTCCAGGAACTGAGGAAGCGGGGTTCGCCCTGACCCCCGGGATGCAAAAGACCCACTTCTTTCGGCACACCCCGCGCCTGTCGCCCTGCTTCCCTGCCTCAACTTGATACGGAATTGGCTGAAGACTACACAGGAATGCATCTTCCCCCCTCCCCATCCCACTTGGAAAATTCCAAGGGGGTGTGGCTTCCCTGGCACCATGCCCACACCCATACTGGCTGCTGATTGGCTGGGGAGGCCCCCACCTTTGCTCCCTTTGGTCCTTCACCTCTGCCGTCCCCTTGGGGCTGGTTCCTCTGCTGGGGATGTACCAATGAACCCCACAGTAAGGGGGAAGGAAGGAGGGAATTTCACATTCCCGTGTTCGAGATTCACTTTAACACTTATGCCTTCGATTTTTTTGTTTTTTT